AGGGATACAATAATAAAATTAGGGATACAATCAAATATAAAATGATATAAACAATAATTATAACATAACATTTTATATAAAGAAAGATATTTCAAGTAATGTATTATAAAATTTATTATAAAATTTTAATTAATAATTAACTGTCATATATATAAAAAGTATTAATTTATTCCGACATTTTTGAGGAATAAAATCTAGAAATTAAAATAATAATAATAATAAAAATAATAATAAAAATTGATATACAAAAATAATTGATTTATTAAATATATAATAGTTTATTTATTAAATACGATAAATTTATTTATTAAATTAAATTTTCATTAGATGAAGTAAAAATAAAAACATGATAGTATGATAAAAATGGAATTGCCTCATTTTTGCTTGCAATTTGTAAACTTAAATTGATTATAACTTAAAAATAAATCTTAATTGATATTTTTTTATATCAACTTTTATGTTTGTTTCAATCTTTAAAATCAATCTTTCATGAATATTAATAACATGTACATACAAAAAAGTTCACTAATTTAAAATCAATCAAATTTATAAAATTTTTTATAAATATTATATATTTTTTTAAAAATACTGTATAACATTCATTATATAATATTTTATATTGTCAGATGTATTTAATCTCCAACTTATAAATATTTTACAACTTGTAATATCATATTCAATAATTGTTATTAATTTTTATTATCATGCATTTTAAGAATATTGTTATAGCCTTTTTCAAAATTATTTCCCAATATAATAAATTATATAATTTAACCAAACATAGTTCGAAATGAAATGTTTTATAAAATATAAATATCTAACAAAATTTTAGTAACAATTAGTTTGTTTTTATTATGTATTTTATGTATTTATTATGTATTTATTATGTATTATTAGTATGTATTTTATATTTAAGTAAGCATATTTATTAACTATAAAATAAAAAATTCATAAAAAATATACATTAAAAAATTCATAAAAAATATACATTAAAAATGATAACAAATAAAATTATTAAATAAAATAAAATTCTAAAGAAATATATATTATGTCTCGAAATATGAATAATAATGAATAAAAAAAATTTTATATATTTTATTTTCATTTCTTGTCAAATAAAAAAATTTATATATAAATTTTTAAATATAAAGAAATATAAAGAATATAAAGAAATTTCTTGTATATTTTAAGAATTAAAGACATAATGTAGTATATAATATATATATATATATATATAATTATATGCTATTTTTCAGTCTGAAGATAAAAAAAAATAAATTCATTTCAGAAAATATAGAATTTAAAATATAATATATTTATTATAGAATTATAAAATGTTTAATATATGTTTAAATTGCTCGTAAAAGAACATAATAAAAAATATTAAAATTTTAAATGCCAATTTAATGCCATATTAATCTTTTTGCTTATTTTTTGAATTTATAAAAATATTTGATTCTTTGAATATTATTCCATAAACAAATAAATATGCTATAAAAAAATGGTTTAAAATATATGATTTCAAAAAGACAGATAAAATTAAATTTGTAATGATAAGCATTATATTAAATTATTTATTTTATATCATATGTTTCTGGTATATATAAATGTAAGTACAATTGTAAAGTATTATAAAATAATATGTATTATTGAATAATATTAATTTTTTTTTAATTCATCATAATCTAGTCTTAAAATAAAGAAAAAAAATATGTAGTTCTAATTTTAATAAGTTACTTTTTTTATATAATTGCATATCATAGCCTAAAAAAAAATGCATCAAATTACACTATTCTATATATATATATATATATATATATATATATATATATAGATATAGATCTTATATTGATTTTATTTTATGTTACATGTTTCACAGATTATTAATGTTTATTCTTTTTTGATAATATATAAATATATTATATATTTTATATATAGGTTATTATTATTAAACTATTTTAAATTAACATTAATATAAAAAAAAATTAAAAAAAAATTTTCTAATATTTCTATAAAATAAATAAATTGAAAATAGTACTAGGGAATATTTGAGAATGAAAACATAAAATTTATCAAGAAAATATTAAAATGGAAAATATATACAATACGATTATATTTTAACAAGATTAATTGTGAGATTATATTTCTGATTTTATCTATTTCCTGGTAATTGTTTGTTTTTGTTCTTGTAATACATCGAAGGAAAAGAATACTGGTCTTTGTATACTCTGTGAAATATTTGTTCTAAATACTTGTTTTTATAAGATAATAAAAATCATTGAAATAAATATGAATTACTTATAATATAACAATAAGATATTAGTATCAAATGAAAATTATATAAATTAAATGTTCATTTTAGTAAACTTATTTTATTTAAACTTTATTTATATTCAATATATAACTTATTAAATAATTTTGTTATATTTTTTTACCAAAAAAAAATAACAAATGAGCAAAAGAGAGATAAGATAAAAGAGAGATTTTCATAAAATCTTATAATTATTTTATAAAAATATTATTTTTATAAAATAATATCAATTTTTTTTTATTATATAAAGTATATATATTAATTTTTTAAAACTTGATAAACTTTTAAAATTTTTGAAAATTGTTATATAAGAATTATTTATTCAAATTTTACTGTTATTAAATGTTTTTATTAATGAAAATTATTAATATATTATAAATTTATAAAATAATAAATATAATAATAAAATAAATTATAAATTTAAAATTTATGTGAAATATTATTTGAAATATTAAAAAAAATATAAGGACAAAATATTTTCCCTAGAAAAAATTATAAAATATTATATTTTTAAATAAAATATATGAATATTTTTAAATTTTTCTTTAAATGTTATTATTTAATTTATACTGATGAAATTTTAAGTAAAATTAATAATAGAAATAAATAAAATTTAATAAATCGAAAATTAATTAAAATATTCTACTTTCTCTTAACATTAATAGTAAAAAGCAATATAATAACAAAAACTCGAATGAAAAAAGAGAAAATTTGAATAAACATTAACACGATATATGTAAAAAAGTTTCACTGACAAACATGATGCTTGATATATACGCACACAATCACATCAATTAATCGTATACAAGACTCAACTCGTAAAAGTGAAAGCGATATAAACGAAGGAGAAAATATGACCGTGAAACTGGACCAATTGATGCTATAAAAAGATAAAATGGATTTTCGTAAATATATAATTCGATCTTCATTTTCTGAAATTTAATACATGAAAAAAATTTAATATTGCATATTAATGCAAAAATTCAAATCTTTAGTTTTATTGAAATAAATAATAATTTACTTTTTGAATTTTTTCATTATTAAATTTCTTTCTTATTATATTATATAAATATAAATATATATATAATAAAATATTTATATAATAATTATATATTTAAATTAAATATTTAATTTTAATAAAAATATGAAATAAAAATAATATAAATATAAAATAAATATTAAATAAAATGTTTATAAATAATGAAATAGATAAAAATATTTTATATTATTATATTATATATATTAAATATTAGATATATATTAACAACATTAGTGGAATCAGAATTTTATTAATTTTGTAATTATTTTAAAATTCATAAAATTTGTATGAAAATATAATTATAATAAATATAATATATAAATATAATATTAAAGTGTTGAAAAAGTATATATTTAAATAAATACTATGTATGTATGTATTTATTAATTGACAATTAATGACGTGACGCGCGTCATGTTTGTGTAATCATCAATCATTATTCAATAGCAATTTGAACTTCCTGTACAAGAATATTTATACATAGATAATTTCTCATCTGACCCTGATCAAACTATATAATACTATTAAAATGCTCATATAATGACATCTTAATATACATAATCAAATCATTGAATATTATTACATTATTATACACAATATTATATATTGTTTATTATTATTATATTATTATATATGTTATATTAATTATTATATTATTTATATTTTTTATTTTTATTAAATAATATTATAAAATTATAGTGATATTTTTTACTTTAATATAAATAATTATTATAAATATACTTTATTATAATACTTTATTATAATTACTTTATAAATATATAAATATATAAAGTTTTATATAAATATTTAATATTTATAATGATAATAAAGCTATAGAATTTAAAATACAATACATAATACTTATAATACATTGCAAATATATATATATATATATATATATATATAAGAGAATATTCTTTTCGACTTATATGTATTTATTGTAATAATTTAAATCATAGTATGACAGAATATGTAAAATTTGTAAAATATAATATATAATATATAATCTTTAATTATATAAATAACTTTTTTATCGAAAAAATAATTTAAAATTTTATTAAATTTCTTTTTTTATACTAAGAAAAGTATTAGAAAGAATCCTTTTTTTTTTTTAAGGAAAGAATTACGAAACTATTGATTAAAAACAGAAAGGTAAATATGTGTAAATAATTCATCAATATTTCAAAAATATAAATAAATATATTTTGCAATAATTACATAATTGGTATATGAATATCACCATATTAGCTATATATTTTTTAATCTAAAATTAAAGATACAAATTATAAAATAGGTTAATTATAAAAATAATTTATAAAAATCTAAAATTATAATTTAATTATTTTTTAAAATTAATTATAATTAATTTAAGAACGAAAAGTAAATGAGTTATATTGATATTTAAATATATTATAAAAACATCTGTTTCTCTTTCTTAGTTTACATCAGATACAAAAATAGAAAAATATTCATTATCTTAAATAGAAAACTAGGTGAAACTGATTTTATGCGTGACAAACAATGTCAGTTCCTTGAAAAAGTAGAAGAACGTTTGTAAAGAAAAGAGTGGAGATCTATAGAGAATGGTTGGCGATAGCTTTGAAAATCATCATATCGTGTCAGTCCCTGTATTGCGTTTGCTCTGTTCACTTCGTTCATATTCGTGCGAGTGATTCACTATAATATATATCGTTTATTTCTTTGTTTTTTATTCACTTTCATTTTTATTTATTAGTGAATAAAATTGAAAAAAATGAAGAATATATATATTAAAATATCATTTTTGTTTTAACTTTTCCTTTATTTTAACTTTACTTTATTAGAAAATTAAATATACTTTTTGTTTTTTAGTTACAAAGAATAAATTTCTCTTAATACGTTTAAAATAAATTCTGACTTCTTGTTTTGTCGCATTCTTCATATGATTTGTATAAAAATAAAAGTGCGTAATTAATATCTTTAGTCATTTAATCCTGAAAATTAGTTTAATCATTAATTTAATTTATTTTTAAAAAAATATCATTGAAAGATATACTATATATAATTTTATATATGATTTCAATAAAGAAAAATAGAATGAAAAAGAATGAAATAATAGTAGGGTGATATAATTCTACTTCAATTTTACAATTATTATAATAATTATGTTTTCGTGGATATTAAACTATTTGAATTTATTAACGGTAAGCTATATAGTTTTATATTTAATTATAATAGGCCACATTAATATGTAATATATTAACATATTATTTTTAAGATATTAATATATATGATAAGAAACATGTGAGATATTTTAGAAATCAATTATAGATATTGAAAAAAAAAAAAAGAAATTTATATGCAAAAATATCTATTACGGCTTATTTTTGAAGTTATAAGCAATTAAATCTTAATCGATATCACAATATTATATTATTATATCGCTTGTTGTTGTTATATTTCTTACCAAATTTTTCAACGAAATTTTAAACAGGATATACTAATATCATTTTGAATGCTTGAAATAAAAAAAAATAATTATATATAATTGTTTTTATAATAATGTATATATCTTAATTAATACAATTGTATATATATAAATATAAATTATATATAAATATAAAAATATATATAAATATATCTTCTTTAAACTTTTTAATTAGAACAAGTGATGATCATGATATTGTGATGCATAGTTGATTAATTGGTTCGTTTTATCTTCATATTATTTTATCTTTATTATTTTCATTTTATTTTTAATGTAAAATTAAATTTTAATAAACTTAAACCTAAAAAAAAACTTTAAAAAAACTTAAAAGAAAAGTTTTAACAGAAAAATTTTTACATGTCAATTTTTGTATTTATTTTGATATAGAATCGAGAATTAATTTTCTGACGTGTTTTACATATTTCTTAATATCCTGTATAACATAATATAACATGTCCAAAAAATAAATTATAATTTGATATTATTTTTAATTTTATTTGTTCATCATATTCATATTTTTATATGTATATTCTTATTAATTCTGTATATTAAGGAATTACATTAAACTATATTAAAACTATAAGAAATTTATAATTTTCCTATGATAATCAATTTAATACAATTTAAATAAACTTTTTTCATTGATAAATTTCAATAATAGTATTTAAAACAGAACTAAGTAGAATTATATTAAATGACAGAATTTTCTTATAAAGCATATTGAATGAATTCAATATTGTCAAAATTTATTACCTATATTTAATATTTATCGTATATAATTAATATAAAAATGAAATAAAAGATTATATTTCGAAATTATATAGAAAAGGATTGAATGATATTACGAAAATTTACTTTTCAATTTTAGTTTACTTTTTATATAAATATAATAATATAAAAATTAAATATAAAAATTCTAATGTATTTTTTTTTTAAATCACAATTCTTAATGCACTAATCAATTCAAGTCATTATTTTAATATTAAACAATTTATATTAAAAAATTGTTAAAAAATATATTAAACTTAATTTAATATAGAAAACAGAGACATATAAAAGATATAAACATACAAATAATGTTATTTTTTTCTTAAAATTTTAATAATCATATTAAACAATTATACAATTATTATATTATACAATTATTTTTTTTTTAAATTATAATATTTAATTCCAATATTTATTTATGATAAATATCTCTTAGTTTTCATAAGTAAATATTAAAATTTTATGTATTATTATTATATTTTAAATATTTCTTAGTATATTAAAATATTCTTAATATTGGAATATTACTTTAATTTTTGTTTAATATGTTTAAAATATAAAAATATTAGAATTTTTTTTCTATATTATAAATATGCATTAAAAACGTATAAAAGTTTGTCTATAACATCGAGAAATAAAATAAAGCTTTATTGAAAGTAATTATAATTTAAAAACTTATATTTATATTTATAAAAATTCGTTTAAAAATAAACAAAAAATATTATATAAAATTTAATAAAAGTTATAAGCAAATGTTTTTAAATGTGTATTAAATAAAGAAAAAAGCAAATCAATAATATAGAGTTAGAACTATCTTATAGAGCTCTATTATCTTTTCTTTGTCTAACTTTGTTTAACAAATTTACATTATTCATAACTTAATAAATAATATGAATTTCTTGAGCTTAAAATGACAATCAATTTTATATTTATTTCGACTTTTAGAATCAAAATATAATATATTTTATGAATATAGTATAATGTAACAATCTATAATATATAATATGTATAATATATATATATATGTGTTAATAAATTATTGATAATGTTAAATATATTAACAATCTTTATAGTATATATATTTCACTACAAATGTTTTAGATTTTTTATATAATTTAATTTAATTTTCTATTATAATCAAATTCTAATTAATAATAATAATAAATATTACATTATTTTATAAATAATAGGAATAAAAATTTTACTTTGTACATGTTACAAAAGAATTTACGCGCTATTTCTACGATAAAATGCTATTGATTAAAACATACGAATAATTAATACAACGTGTTATGCATGTCAATTTAAAATAGTGAAGGCCGTAATTCAAAATAAGAAATGAAAGAACTCATGATGAATATTAATGCTAATAATAAATAAGATTATTGTTGTCATATACATCTAAATACTGAAGTAAAATTATTTCAATTAGATATGATATTATATGGAATAATAAAAAAGAAACTAGAAAAATTATTAGTAAATATAAAGAAATAATTAACATGTAATAAAATAATTTATAATAATAGATAGTAAATAATCAGATTTATAAAATATAATATTATTTATAAAATAATATTTATATTTATAAAATTCAAAATAAAATATTCAATTAAATATTGTTGATATTCAATTAAAATAGCTGTATTATATTTTTCTGATAACAAAAATTGAGAATGAAAGTGGCATAAAAAAAATTTTGTTATACAAGTAATTAAATTAAATGTATAATTTATATAGCAATACAGTTTGACTGAAAAGTGCAATCGTTGTATTTAAATTAATTATAATTATAATTAATTAAATTAATTTAAATTTAATGTATTTAATTTAATAATAATATTTTCTTGTATTATAAAAAATTTTTTTTTTATTGAGGAATATAAAAAGTTATTATTTTAAATAATTTCTTTTTATGATAATATCTAATAATAAATCATTTTTTAAAATTACTACTAAAGTATCGTCTGTTCAATCTCTGCCCATCATAGCATTTTTATTGTTACCTTTCTCTTGCTTCCGTTGTCCTCAATATTGAAGATCTCATTATTCTTTGCAATAGTAAGTCTTCTTTAGTTATTAATAATGCAATATTAAAACCAAATACTAAAGAATTTTTTAATAAAATTTTTCTATTAAAAAATTAAAATATAAAAGTGCAATTAAGCTAAAATTAGCATAAATAATAAAATATTCAGTAATATTTTTATTTCATATTTGTATGTTTTCATATTAATATCATGTTTATATCAAAAATATAATAAATTATTTAATTTTTTTCACATATACACATTTTATTATACATATTTTAATAATATTTTATAATTTTATAATAATAGAAATAAATTCTTTTTTAATCTTAAAAAATATAATATGATATATTATATATTACAGTGCCAACTTATACAACTAATTTATTATAATCATTTTAAGATTTATTTGATAAAAAAAGAATTTCTGATAAAAATAATTGACTGATTATATAGAAGATAAAAAATTGTCATCAAATTCAATTAATTAGTTAGAAACAATTAGTTAGAAACAATTATGATATTTGTATTTATCATAAACTATATGTAAATTTAATATTATATTATATATTTATATTATGTTTCTTACAAACAATTATTTGTAAAAACAACATGGAATTTATTTGAAAAATTTATGAAGTATTATCTGTCATTTGTTTACATTTATTATTTTTTTCTGATATATTAAAGTTATTAGAATCATCAATATATGGACATATTTTCAATACAATCATTTCAACATTATTATTATTAATTAATTATCATTATCATTATTATCATTATTATTATTAAATCTATTTCATTTTCAAATTCGATGAATTTAAATATGCTCTATCTAGATTTCTTTCGCAAATTTCAACATTTCTTTTTTTTGAAAATTCATCTTTTTGAAAGAAGTTTTTAACGATTTTTTCTTCCAAGAAACCTACTTCCAAGACATTATTAACAAATCTAATTCATTAAAAAAAAAAATCTTTTTTGCAAATAATAGATTAATTTTAAATTTCATCAAGTTTAACTTTTTTGATATGATACAAATTTTTTTTGATATTCAATGAAATTTATTTTTGAAATAAATATTTACAAAAAATTACCTTCCATTTTAATGATTTTTTTAATATAATATCAAAATTATTTGAATAATATTGAAAAAGCAAGTCGCCGTTCATTAAAAAGCTATGAACCAAAAAAATTTAGATTTAAATTTTCCAAGCATCATTTAATATAATATATAGCTATTTGTTTAGTTTTCTTATTAAAATCTATGCTATATTAACATTTCGATATATGAATTTATATTCATATATAACTCTGACGGAATTGACTTCAATGATAACTTGTAAAAAAAAACTTATAATTTATACTCAATAAATCCTTGTTTCCTATTAAGTGTATAAAAAAATAAAATGTATTATAGCGTAATTCTGTACCAAAATCAATAAAAATCTGTAAATATAAATGTGCAAAAATGACCTTAACCTTAAAATCAACATCAAATTTTTTTGTTATTGTATAGTATTCTTCATAAGAATAAAAAAATCTCAAAGAAATCATGGATTAATTGTTCTTTTGATGAAAAATTAAATTTTTTATTTTAAATAAATTATATTTTTAATAAATTTTTATCTTATTCATTTTTTTATAATTTTTTACATTTTTTAATTAATTGCAAGAAAAATAGCATTTATTGTGAAACGTAAATATTTTAAATCTATCCAAAAATATATCTCATATTATAAGTTAGTTATGTAGTTAGCTGTCGTAGCGCAGAAATTTCTAAGAGAGCTTTCATATGTAAACATAATGTGTATTTAGATAAGATTCATAATATTTCAAGTATAATAAGTCCGTTATATACAAGCATTTCGTTAAGGTTAAAATTAAACCTGATATATTGATTTTTAATTAGTTATACCAA